TCAATGGTTATCTAGATAAGTCAGATCCACACAAGAAATCCCATCAGGCCACAGGGCAGGCTCAGCCTCACCTGGGAACTAAGCAGATATCTAAAAGGACTATCTGTCAAATGGAAAATATTTTATCAGTCAATTGCATATTAACATATCTGTGTTTTTCTTTTGTTTCAGAGACATATACAGTATCACCTTCCTTGTTTTATGTAATGTATAATTTATTTGCTTTTGAGTCAAGACTTTTGACATTAAATAAAGATGTTGTAATAATATATAAATAACGTTTTTATTTATATAGGACTTGTAATTGTAATGTATCAGGCTGAACATGTAATTTCCCCTCCGGGATTTAGAAAGACTGTCTTAATCTTTAGGTTCAAATAAAATGCCTGTCAATAGAGAACCGCAGTGACGCGTCCTAAAACCCGGAAGTAAACTTCTTCCGGTTCCTTCGTCAAAAACCAATGCAATTTCTCCATAGGATTTTGGAAAATAGCTCGAAATAAGATCTGTGGTTGACACACATTTAAGAGACAGATCACGTTTTGTTCAGCCGGATAATCTCCACATGTCAACCATACTTTTATAATTTTCAAATCATAAATCTAGTCGCCAGTTAGCTTTAGCTAACGTTAGCTAACGAAACAAACTGCCGAGTAAAATTGGAAAACACTGGTAATTAATTATTCTATCATTTGTAAAACTACGGTGTTAAAAACGACAATTTCAAAAATACAGATTCTAATGGTCAGATATAGATAAACAGATACTAAAGATAGGCAGGTACTTGCTTTCAAGCAGAACACAGGGGAAAACAAACTTAGCGGGAGTGTTTACGTGTTCGGCGTAATGACGTACAACGGCCTCGACAATTTCTGTAGTCCTATTCAGCCACTCGGTAACAACCATCGTTTTTCAGACACGTAAACTCTTCAAAAATCACCAGTGGGGTCACTGCTGATGTATTTAATGTCGTAGAACAAAACGTGATTTATCTCTTAAATTTGTATCAACCACAGACCTTATTTCGAGCTATTTTCCAAAACCCTATGGAAAAAATGCATTGCTTTTTGAGGAAGGAACCGGAAGTGCCAAAAATGCTAACTTACTTCCGGGTTTTTGGACGCGTCACTGCGGTTCTCTATAACCAGACTGTATCATTAAAAACTAAGTACCAGTTCTAACTGCGGTGAAGCCAGCCTCCACTCGGGAAAACCTAGTCAAGCCAGCCCGCACGTGA